AACGCCCTCCGGAATTAAACTTGTTTAATTATGATAATTGTGGTTTATTAGTGTGCCTGAATTGATTTTCTTAATTAATCATGAACTTTTAAATTTATTTTGGTATTTGCCATCTTTGTTTTATTTATTTTCCCTAATATTTTCTTTCCAATTTTTCTTTCTCCTTTTCTCTCTTTTTTTCTTTTTCCTTATTTCTTTTCCTCTCTCTTCCTCACGTTACTCTCCCTCTCTCTCTCTATATCGACACACACTCTCTCTCTCCCTATCAATCTCTCGAGCTCACTCCCCCTCTCTCTATCTCGAGCTCTCCCTCTCTCTCTCAAAGTTTTCTTTCTGAAGGGCCAGATTTAAACCAAAAATGGAGGTTTCCAAGAGGTTTTCAACATCAAAGCTTGGATCGAGGTAAAACTCTTTGAAACTTACTTTTAATTTTTGGATTTAACCTTATGGAACTCGTTTTAGTCGAGTTGGGTGATTTTTGGTTTAGATTTTGTTTTCGAATGGATTTCGAATGCATTTTGATGAAAATTGGGGTTTTTTTTTTATTCTTTGGACCCTATTTATTGATTTGAAACTGGATCTATGCATTTTCCTTGAGAATATGTCAAAATCGAACCTAAAATTTCACGATTTGGCTTTGTTTCATGCGGATCGACCATGGCTGGCCCTGGAAATCTTCCCCTCCGGTCAACCGGTCACCCCTCCACCGGCCGACCGGTGGAGTTACACTCCTCTGTCACCGGTCGACCGGTTCCCACTGAACCCGACCCTAAACAACCCAAACAACTGTTTTAACCACGAAATTCAATGTGGGATTGACCTAACTTCATTTGAGAACTCAAAATGAGTGGATTAGCAACATGAATCCTTGTTTTCCATTCGATTCTCCAGAATAAATCTCCATTGTCAAAGAATCATGATTTGAATTAAGAATTATTTATGAACATTGATTTTGAATTATGGCACACTAATATGATACAATTGCATCTAATTAAACGAGAATGTTTGGTGAGAAA